TGTGTGTGTGTGTGTGCGTGTGTGTGTGCGTGTGTGTATATATATGCAATGATAGCAATAAATAACAACAACACCATTAAGCACAAGCGAGGAGGAGAGAGTGAAAAGAGGTGGTACTAAGAGGAAGAGAATGTTTGAGTTCGTGTCATCGATTCTGCGAGTAATTTAAAATTTTGTTGATGATGTTTCTTTCGTTTAGTCTATTAAAAAACTTTCACATTTAGGTATTCTTTATGTTTATGTTTTCAAAATTCAACAGTAAATCCATTTTATACTTTTGAATGTATAAAATTACTCTCAAATTTACTAGGGAATATTTTAAAATCAATAAAAATTGAAGAAATTTTATGTAAGACTTTTGTTCGTATTTGTGCACCAACACTTTTATTTATTTGATTTTTTTTGCCCTTTTTTTTCGTACCTTTCAATCATTTTATCTTTCTTTTTTATTTTCAAATTATTGAATAATCAATTTTCAGGTGAATTCCATTAATTGCTTCCGTTACTGTATTTATCATTTGTCTTTCTCATTCTTTGTATGTGATCACTTTTAGCGATTTAATTAACAAAAAGTACTTGTTCAATGAAATTGAGAGGTTTTTTTTCATTATTTCTCTTAACGAATTTCAGTTTTTCGTTGATTGTACTAAATCGATGCAGTAGTGATATGAAATGATTAAGAAAGTGATGGTAAACAGAGGAAAAGATGAAAGATCGTGTCATTTGATGTATATATAGGTAAACATGGAAAGAAAACATTTTGAAGGTATGTATTCTGAATAGTTCAAGTTATTACACAACAAATTTTCCGACATAATTAAACTTAAGTCATTATTATAGGAGTAAAAATAACGATAACATTATCTCAAAAGAAATTAGTTTTTTTGTTGATTCAGTTTTTTTTTCAACTTTTTCATTATTTTCTTTTTTTGCTTTGTAAGATTAGCTCATGCAAGCAATAATATATAATTTGTTTTGAGTTTGAAAGTACATTTATCACGGATAAAACGGATTTTTTTTTACTGTCTTTATCGCTTCTCGAAAGCACAACTGTCAACAACTGAAATAGGCAAATTAAGATTTCGGGAAGTTTAACAATTTATATCTTTGAGTTAATTTTTTCAAGTTGTCCATTTTACAACTGAATCCGGAATTGCTTTAATCTATAACTTAAGAAAGACAGATGGTGAATGAATAGAAGACGAGCTGTGAAAGTTGTAAATATAACTCATTCTTTTTTACTTATTTCTTTTCTTATTGCTTTATTTATATTTGATTTAAATGTATTAATTAAAATGTCTAGATTTGTTTAGTTTGTCAACTTAATTATTTACATTCTTTCTTATCTATTTAACGCTTTATTTGCTCCACTCTTATCACTTCAGAAATATTGTTTATAGCAGTAAATGCAAACAATAATGTTTTTTTAACTTATCACTCGAATTGATAAAATTGATATTATTACATTCGTTCACCAAAGTTAAAGTATTCTACATTTATGACTAACTAATTTCTTCATTCCATTATTGAAGTTGCTAAGCAACAACATGAAATTTGATATTATATTATATATTTTATTTTCCAAAATGCAAGCAACATTTCGAGTAATTGTTTTTATTTGTTTAAATTATTTAATTAGTATTAGTATAATTTAAGTATTAATTACTATTATTTATTATGAACGAAATATTTAATGGCGAAAAGAAGATTTTATTTCCGGGCTTTTTCATGCTATTTTCGTTTTCTCCAAAATTTAATTAATTTCACTTTACATTTTGGTATCATTTTCTAATATTATTTGGTATTTACTGTTTACATATAATAACTGGGGCAACTATTTATTAGTTGTGCCATATTCCAACAATCTCTTTTTTTCCTCTTTTTGCAATTTTTTAATCAATTCGAAATATTAATAACGAATTTATTGCTATAATGTATTACGTACTTGAATACACGTATTGTATTTCAATGTAATTTATTAATATACTTGATCTTTGAAACCGTCGTAAAGTTTGAGTTTACTATTAAAAGATTGAGATGGATAAGGTAGAATAGTAGATGGATGTTTCTTATTACATTTAATTTACTACAAATCAATCACTTTAGTATCATCAACTTTTAATGATCAATGATACTGAGCAATGAAATCGAGGCATTTTGTATATATGTCACATTATATTCATTAGTTTTGCTGCTATTCTAACAACATTTCTTGAACACTTTGATTTTTCGATCATTTAATCGAACTTTGAAGATTTTTTCTTTTCTGATTATTTTCTTATTAATACCTTTCAGTGACGGGTTCGTCATCGCTTGGAATGTTACGGTTGATTTTGCTGTTGCTGATCTTTTCGAGTTGTTATTGTTTGGAATGGGATGCATCAAATTTTCCAAATCCAACAACCGGTGACTATAAACGATGTCATATGCGAACAACGTCGAGTATATGTGACCCAGACGAAGTATTGACTGAACAGCAACGATATCGATTGAATCATGAATTACATCAGCTGGAATCTCGAACTCGACAGGTTTGTTTGCTTATAACGGTTTTTGTTATTGAAAGCAATTCTTGTACCAGTTTGTTTAACATTAATGCAATGATTATACCCTATTTATGGTCATTTTTTTCCAGAAAAGTTAACTTCTCCGAAATTTTTTCACAACGTTAAGCTATTAATCAAATTCATTCCATTCATTTCAGTTCTTTACTAAACTATAAATATAATTTTATTAATGAATGAAAAAACTTTAATAGTTAAAAATGCTTATTTCAGTTTGTATTCAGACGTTTTCCCCCATCTAATATTCATTTATAGGATCATGCTCCCGACTTTTGCCAAAAAAAAGGAATTACAGCAGCGATGGCTGTTGTCAAACATATTCGTGGAAATTCCGAGGAAGTAAATTAATTTTCGAACTTAAATTAAAATAGTCAATAATAGTTTTAGTAGTAATAGTCATAAAATGATTTATTTTTTGAATATCTAATAGTGAAATCAAGTTCCAGTCTTTTTCAAATACATTTCGCAGGTCTTCGTTGTTGTTGAAGTTTCCATCTGTTTACTTTATATCTATAGTTTAGTGAAAAATGATATTGTTAGATTTTCTTACTTTAAATTGCGAAGGTTGAGTTTTTGTTTTTTTCAGCCATAAAGTTAGGATAAAAAAGTAAGATTAGTTGACTGTTAAAAAAAAATGAGTATATATAAATTTGTCAATAAGAAAACATGAAATATAAAAATATTGAAGGCTGTTAAAGAAATGGCAAATCAAATTCTTCGAAAGTGGACATTGGATAATCAGTGTCAGAAATCAGTGGTTTTCGTCGTTGCAACAGAAGATCGTCGGTTTTGGGTAGCACGTGATTCACGAGTTCCCGTATATGCACAAGAATTTACGCAAATATTCAACTCCCAAGTAAATTATTTTGATTACTGAATCAGTTCATTGATTAGTTGATCAGTTAATCAGTCGGCCAGTTATTTAATTTTAGTTTTGATGAAGCAAGTGTCATTTTTTTTTGAAAAAGAATAATATGATGTTGCAGAAGCAACTTTTTCAACAAGGAGACTATTCGCAAGCATTGGGCAATATAGTACAACAAACATGGGAAAAAGCTCTATCAAAGCAAGGAGGAGCGGAACCACCAAGTGGTGGTAGAGGTGGTTTTGGTCCAGCTGTTCCTCCACCGTCCCGTGGTATTATACCTAAACCGGATATTGGAAAAAAGAGTGGAGGTCTTCTGCCGCATATACCGTTATGGTTTTGGTTTATACTTATCCCCATCATTTTATCTCTCCTCTGTTGTTGTTGTTTGTGCTATTGTTGTTGTTGTCGTAAGAGTGGTGGTACAAGCAACATTCCACGAAGACAAGGACCCATTGATATTGAGGGTGGTAATAGAGTTCCAGTGGGCGGGCGTAGCGGTAGGTCCGTTGGTGGAAGAGGTGGAGGTTTCAATAGTTTCTTGGGTGGCCTTGGAGGTGCTGGTCTGGGTCATTTAGCCGGTCAACTTTTAGGTGGTGGTGGTAAACGTCGCGGTGTTCCCTCTTCTCCAGATTATCAGGGTGGTGGTGCTTATCCCGCAGCACCATCCCAATCTTACGGTGGTGGTACTCGTGGTACTGGTACAGGTGGCAAAGGACTTTATCCAACAGTTGCTATAAATGATCAAGGTGGTGGAGGTGGGTGGTAAATCGACATTTTATTTGATTTAGACTGCATTCTCGCCTTTCGCAACGTAACGATTTATATGATTTTTTCATGAAATCATATACGTAAATCTTTGGTGCTTTTCTTTGACCACAAATAAGTTAAGGTTGTAAAGAATTACCCAGCTAGTTTGAGGTCACACACCTTTCCAATAAGATTACTAAAATGGTGAAATTTCCGTTTGATTTCTCTTAGCAGCTAAATCAAGAGTTACTGGGAGAGATTAAGCGAAAAGATTTGTTAACTGTTTTATAGTTTAGTTTTGTTTAGCATATCACCGTTAAATGCTTCATATCGGATAATTATTGTAATAATCAATTGCTTTCTGGTTGGTGAATAACCATTCTGATTCAAGTTAAGATTATTAATTAGATTGACAAAAAATTATCTTAGAAGCGAAACTAGTCATTTAGCAAACATATATTCTTAATAATGTGTTCTTAAATTTTATTAGATATGATATTTCTTTTATAGAAATGTAATAAAAAATCAAGGCATTTATTTTAAAATGTCCTGTATTTTTTTGGAACATGTTTTAGACATCTTCTTTTTCACATCCATTAATCTATATTTTCTATTTTTAAATTGTAATAAAATAGTTGAATCGCTACCTCTATTCAGTCTCTGATTTTCAAACATTTATATCCTTATGATTTTAGAAATTCTTTATTAGTTATTTTACTTTTGAATTTCGATAAATCATTAAATTAAAATTGGGGAGAAAGCTGACCAAACAAAATTTTCTATAAAATTACTGCTTGTTTCATTTACTACTCCTTCATCATTCTATGTATATATCATAATGCAAATCCATACATTCTCATTTCACTATCGGAATCTTTCGTAAAGAGTTTGGATTAGATATTGCATTAATTAGCATAGCACTGAGAAAGTCTTATCATTGGAATGGTGATAAAAGTTTATTGGAAAAAATGGAAGAAAACTGATAATGAAATATGTTGAAGAGTTCATTCGAAATAGTAAACTTCAATGTTGTGATCACTTTATATGCTTGTAATATATCTCTTGCTATAAAAAATGCTTCATTTTTCGTCCTTCTTGCTAATTATTTTATTTTGTGAATAAGCAGAAAAAAAATGGTAACCTTTTATGAATAGCAGTGGTTAATTTTGTGTTTTTTGTTGTGAGCAAGCAGAAAAACAATAATCTTCCATGAATAGTAATTAGCAACGGTAAGTAAATTAGTTGTTGGAATTTCTGCACTATAATTCCTGAAAGCTCATAAAATCGTCAAAAAATTTAAACAAACTTCGTGATAGATCAAAAAATTTGGGAAGAGCTCGAACTATGTTCTGCTTGATTTCTTCAGAGTTCAACGTTACTATTTGTATAGAAAGATTACATTTCTTTGTTCGAAAAAAATTGATATATAGATGATATATGAAGTATATATTGCTTAAGCATTTATATGCGATGGAATTCCGCTCAAAAATGAGCATTGAATATTTAATTAAAACCACATCCCGCCCATTTCAATTTCTTATTTCGTATGTTATTTCGAATTCGATTTATTCCATAGATATTTACCCATTACTTACAAAAACAAAAAAAGAAAGACTCTTTCTTGATGTAAGAAAAAATTGTAGCAAATGATGGGCAAAATGAAAGTTTGCTTTTGCAATCATCCATTTTTCCAATAGTTAACTAAAAAGCCATTTCCTCCATCATTCATTTATCACTGCTATTTTATGAAGGAGAGGAAAGTTGGCAAAGATTAAAAGAATTCTTCTAGCACTTACCACCTTATACCACCAAGTTTTTTTTTTTCCTGACAATAAATGAAACATAAAACAGACACCCTCAACATATGTTTCGATCAGTTCTATCTTTTCGCATAGCTTACATGTTTTGTGTAGAAATTTTGAATGAAATTTAAAAAGTCTGTATACTGTTAAACATGCGCTTCATAATTTCTTCCTTAAAAACATTTATGAATGGTATATGGTTCATCGTCGCAAACATTCTGTACTGGTTATGATAATTCGTCAATAATTCATTAGAATGTCAAAGAGTTTGACAAAACAAGCAAACAAAAAAAAGGAAATAGTGCATAAATATCAATAGTCTAATTTGCCCTTTCAGGCTATATAT